TCTGAAATGGTAGAGGGTCTCCTGCTTGAGCAGGGGCCTGGACTAGAAGACCTCCAAGGTCCCTTCCAGCTTCTATTCGGATTGATTTTGCAGTTACATGATCGCAATTTATGATCTTCCCAGCTAGGAAGTCATTTGAGGAATCTGGATTTGCTGAACAACTTCATGATTCGCTTTAATGACTCTGGTAGAAATGGTGATAAAATTGGGTCTGGTTAGGTGATAACTTGCTTCATAGCAAGTGAAATTTCGGTCAGAAGTAGAGGACTTGTCTGAATTTATCTACCCAGAGGCATTCGTAGGAAATTAGATTAAATTAGATTAGATTAGATTAGATAACCTTTATTGTCATTTTTTGTACAATGTAAAATGTACATTTTTGTAAAATGTAAAAAACATGGACATAAACAAGGGGCTACAGATGCAAGCACCATTTTGACATTTTTAACCACTCCCCCAAAACCCCCGCTTGTACAGGTAGTCCTCACTTTACGACCACCATTGAGCCCAAAATTTCTGTGTTAAGTGAGACATTTGTGAGGTGAATTTTGCCCCTTTTTATGACCTTTCTTGCCACAGTTGTTAAGTGAATCACTGCAGTGGTTAAGTTAGTAACCCGGTTGTTAAGGGTACCCCCGTGACTTTGCTCGTCAGAAGATCACAAAAAGATGATCACATGAACTTGGGACACGGCCACGGTCGTAAGTATGAACCAGTTGCCAAGCGTCTTGAGTTTTGATCACGTGACCAAGGAGATGCTGCAAGAGTTGTGTGAAAAGCAGTCATAAGTCACTTTTTCCAGTGCCGTTGCAACTTTGAACCATCCCTAAATGAATTGTTGTAAGTCGAGGATTACCTGTATCTTCTTCGGAGTCTCTCAAAGGGTTTTTTACTTAAAAAAAAATAACAATACTAATGTTTCTTTTTCTCTTTGTAGTCTGTTTTGGCAGCTGTGGTCATTGCGAACTTAAAAGGGATGTTCATGCAGGTTTGCGATGTCCCTCGTTTGTGGAGGCAGAGCAAAGCAGACGCAGTGAGTCCCGTTGCCGTTCTGTTCACAAAAAGCTGAGAGTTATGGGTCATGCTTGAATTAATCTCTTCTCTATTTAAGCAGCTGTCTTTCGCTTCACTTAATAATTAATCCCTCGCTGAGAATCTCATGTCACCGGGAGGAAGGAAAAAAAAACTAGAAATCAAGAACTTCTTGGTTATTCCAGGGAATTTCTGACCATCAAAGATCCGTGTTGGGCAAGGAAAACCAGCCCCACAATGAAGGTCAAATTAAACTGATTTACTATTAAAGGCCTATGCAGAGGAATCTTCTCAACTAGGAGTTGAGAATTTGCTAGCAGTTAAATAGGGATCTACAGAATTCAAGGGAGGCTAGAGTTTGTTTGTTTGTGGCTACGTAGGGATGCTAAGCTGATTCCTCTTTTGACTCCACCCCCAGTTTCTGCCTTTCCTTCTCCTACACTCCTATAACCCTCTCTAACTAATTTCGCTTTTCTGAAATAGCCTTCCTACACAGGCTTGATTTTTACTGAGGAAGTTTCAGTAACATATCGGTTATCATACTATCAAGAGGATGGCTGCAGAAAAATGTATTCATCCTGTCTATAGAAAACTAGCATGTTAGGAAGAAAATAAAACTGCAGACCTTTCTTCTAACAAATATTTGTTGTTGGTTATTGGAAGGTGCAAAACTTGTGTGGACCCTCTGGTGTGAACTTTGTAACCACCGCCCCATTTAACCTGTGTTGGGCAGCTACTCTCCAACCGTTGTGGGGAGGTGTTAACTTCTTCACGTTCAAAAAATTAATTAACGAATTCAAGAAAGTGGGATTAAACGAGTGTGAGGCTAAGACAAAAGTTTATCAAATCGGGTAGAACTCGATCACATATTGTAATACTAGGAGCAATAGTACTTAGACTTAGTTACTTAACAATTGCAGTGACTCACAATTGGGGCAAGAAAGTTCACTTAGCAGCAGAAAATTCGGGCTCAACTGTGGCCGTATGTTGAGGACTACCTGTATACTGGCCCATAGTGCTTTACAATCTGAGCCCTCATTTTACCGAATTCGGAAGGACGGAAGGCTGAGTCAACCTTGAGCCAGTCAGGATCGAACTCCAAGTGGTGGGCAGAGTTTGCCTGCAATTCTGCATTCTAACCATTGCACCACCAGGAAGGAGAATGAGGGAAGGGAATAAGAGAAAAGAAGGAAGGAAGGAAGGAAGGGAGGGAGGGAGGGAGGGAGGAATAGCAATAGTACTTAGACCTATATACTGCTTCACAGTGCTTTACAAAGCCCTCTCTAAGCAGTTTACAGAGTCAGTCTGTTGCCCCCAACAATCTGGGTCCTCATTTTACCGACCTCGGAAGGATGGAAGGCTGAGTCAACCTTGAGCCCCATAAGGATCGAACTCCAGACAATGGGTACCGTTTGCCTGCAATACTGCACGGTGCCACCAGGGCTCTTCAAAGCCTATTGATGGCAATCTCTATGGGGTGATTTAACACCCCCATCTCTTTCTTTTTCCAGATGATCTGGGTTTTCACGTGTGTAGCATCCATCATCCTGGGATTGGATTTGGGATTACTTGCTGGTTTGGTATTTGCCCTGCTGACGGTGGTGCTGAGAGTTCAGTTGTGAGTATAATCCCCCCAAAAGAATTTTGCGCCCAAGACTGGAAAATAAATGCAAATCCCTCCCCAGATGGAGCTTTTTCAAGCAAAAAGTGCTACCAAAGCTGCCATTGCTTTTGCTTCTGCTATTTGCGGATAGCCCTTGACTTCATTTAGCAGCTGTACTGAAAAATATGACTTATAACCAGTCCTTTTGCTCCTGATGGTCACAGCATCCCCATAGTCACAGGATCACAATTTGGGCACTTGGCAACTGGTTGCAGCATCCTGGGGTTGTGTGATCACTATTTGTGACCTTCCCAGAGAGCTTCTGACAAGCAAAATTAATGAGAGAAGCCAGATTCGCTTAATGACAGCAAGATTCACTAAAACTGCAATAGAATAGAATAGAATAGAATAGAATAGAATAGAATAGAATAGAATAGAATAGAATAGAATAGAATAGAGGAAAGAATAAGAATAGAATGGAATGGAATAGAATAGAATAGAATAGAATAGAATAGAATAGAATAGAATAGAATAAGAATAGAATGGAATGGAATGGAATAGAATAGAATAGAATAGAATAGAATAGAATAGAATAGAATAGAATAGAATAGAATAGAATAGAATAGAATAGAGGAAAGAATAAGAATAGAATGGAATGGAATGGAATAGAATAGAATAGAATAGAATAGAATAGAATAGAATAGAATAGAATAGAATAGAATGGAATGGAATGGAATGGAGTGGAATGGAAGCTGGAAGAGACCTTGGAGATCTTCTAGTCCAGCCCCCTGCTCAAGCAGGAGAACCTATACCATCTCAGACAGATGATTGTCTAGTCTCTTCTTAAAAATCTCCAGTGATGGAGCACCCACAATTTCTGGTGGCAAGCTGTTCCACTGGTTAATTGTCCTCACTCTTAGGAAGTTTCTCCTTAATTCCAGGTTGCTTCTCTCCTTGATCAGTTTCCAACCATTGTTTCTTGTCCTTCCCTCTGGTGCTCTGGTGAACAAACTGACCTCCTCTGCCTTGTGGTAGCCCCTCAGATAATAATTCACTTATAATTCACCATGGCAAAAAAAAGGTTGCAAACAGGCTGGGACTCATTTAACAACCACCATTCTGCTCCCATTCTGGCCGTAAGTTGAGGACTACATGTATTTCACAAGTTAGGCTATCAGTGATGGCTGAGCTACCCTTGCTTGCAACAAATTTTGTATATGGCTCCCAGCCATTGTTTGCAACAAATTCTGTTCTGTAGGATTGCATTGGTTTTAATTTTGAAATCTTGATCTTGACCAATATTTTGTTTTGTTTTGTCAGTCCTTCCTGGGGTAAACTTGCTAACGTTCCTGGCACGGATCTGTATAAGAACATCAAAGAATACAAAAATGTAAGACGGTCTAGCAAACTAATATTTCAAATACTTAGAGGGGGGAATAAAAGGATGTTTAAGATTTATTTCGGAGTTGATTGAAATGCGGCCTGCATGACGAAAGGATGGATAGGTCCATTTCTGGAGTCTCATAAAAGATAACAGTGGGCCGATCGAGAATTAATAACCATTTGAAGCATATCAAGCCAAATCTATCCATTCATCAGTTCACTGTTACTTCAATAGATTATGGCAGGGGTAGGCAACCTTGGCTCTTTTATGACTCGTGGACTTCAACTCCCAGAATTCCTGAGCCAGCAACGCTCAGCTTGGAAACTTCTCCCTTTTCCCTCAGCGTGGCTGGCTCAGGAATTCTGGGAGTTGAAGTCCACGAGTCAGAAAAGAGCCAAGGTTCCCCATCCCTGCCCTATACCAGGGGTCTTCAAACTTGGCCCTTTTATG